CCTGCTGCTTATTGGGTTAAGCCAAGACTGTTTTCCTAATAATCCTAAAACATCACTTGCCTCTTTGGCTTTGTTGACATTTACCCCCTTGGTAATAAAGCATGAGTCATGAGACAGCGCTGAACTCTACCTGCAATGTCCATAACCCTCACAACCACACAGTTTAAACAAAATAGGGAAAAAGAAAGGAAATTCTAGTTTAAGACTTTGATAAGCGGAAAAGTTATTAGCTTTCTCACCTCTTTATCCTGAGCACACACCTTTGTCTGAGTATCAAGTGTGAAGCATCCATAAAGCTCCCCCATAGCAACCCCAATCCACTGTTTAACTAGGGAGAGCAACACCTTCACCTGTGACGAGCGCCTGCCTGCAGCCTTCCCCCGTGGAACAATGCACTCGACTGGAGGTGACAGGTGTGCAGACAGCCGGCAGGGATGAGGTGGATCTGCTGCTTTACATACAATAATGGTGGTGCCCCTTGCCAGTGACAAACCATGAGCTTTTGGGAAAAACAGAATTCTGGACACCTTGTGTCTGCCATTGTGAGTCTGACAGCTCTTCTGATGCCTAAAGATGGGATAGGTAAGAACATTAATAGTATGATTTTTACATCTGTGTAAGGAAACTGCTCCATTTGGGAAAGCTGCATAAATCAGAGAACCAATGTTTTCCAGGTGACCAAAGTGCACTGTTACAAGATAACTGGACCTTAACATAATAAAAAATGTTGCTTGATTATGGCTTCCGATTCAACATTACAATTCACTGTAAGAAACTACCACTTGTTACACTTTGAAGTTCTGGGGAGGAGTATTCAGTTATTTGCAAGGCTGGTAACAAACTGTGTGTCTTCAAGCACAGAATGGGGTGAGTCTGGCTTTGTTTCCTACCCTGGAGTCAAAACCAGACAGGGCAAGATACCGGGTGCAGAAGCAGATATGTAATTCCCAGCGTCTTCCATTAAGTTACAAATTAAAGAGAGCTGCAAAAATGCAAAGCAATGCCTATCTTCTCACTTGTTTTTTCATGTTTTGGAAAACAGTACCTTCTCATGAAAGGGTTATGTGAATATAATGGGCTTATTCTAGTTACTTTTTTTTGGGGGGTGGATTCTTTTGTAGCAGCAGATAAATGGAGCACAAGGGACTTGTTTAGAATAGGAGGTCACTCTAAAGCTATGACCCAGACCAGAAGGGGCATGGGCACACCCTGAGCTCATTCACCGATGACGCTGTGTTCAGGTCCCCACTCAGACTCTCCAGGGAGGAGTTATTCTGGTAAGGAGTCAAGAAGAGCCCAAATTATGTCTATCAAGTTTCTATGCCACTGACTCTCCTGTGTTTTGTTTTGTTTTGTTTGTTTTATTCTAGTTACTTTGAAATAAAGGTATAAATAAATATCTTTTAGTTGCTCAGTTTTAATTTCTATGTGATAAATACTGACAGGTAAAACCCACATGATAACAGTTCTTTAGGCTCTAATTTTAGGTTCTTAGTTCTCTTAGGTTCTTTAGTTCAGTTGGCTGCAGTTTTTCAGAGTATAAAGGGGTGCTAAAACTAAGGGCTTGAGGGGCTGGGGATTTAGCTCAGCGGCAAAGCGCCTGCCTGGCAAGCGCAAGGTCGTGAGTTCGGTTCCCGGTACGAGGACAACATTTGCCTGTGTGCCTGGCAGGACCTGGGCATCAGCCCACAGCCCCGCTGTGCCCGTGCTGACAGAGCCCCGCACTGTCTCCCTAAGGGAACATCTGGTGGCTCATTGAGCTGGATCTTCCTTTAGCCAATTTCATCTGCTATCTGTTGCCCTAGCAAATGAAATGTTTGTCATGTTGCTAATAGAAAAAAAAGATAGAAATGGCCAGCAAGTACCCTGTTCTCGGCCAGCTGTCACCTCCTACAACTGCAAGTTTCCCCAAGACTTGTACAGATAGGGCCTGCCAGGTAGCTGTGAGCTGTTTATTATTAGCATTATAGACATTAAGCCCCATGTGGTCCAGTGACACCCCAGTCCCTGGGATGCTCCCCAGGTTGGGGACTAAAGCTCTTCTTGTTCATTGGCCTTGAGCCTAAGCCAAGGGATAACAGAATTTCATGTCCATGGCCAACTTTGCAGTAGAAGTTTCCTAGAGCTCTCTGTTGAGGGTCAGTGGGAAAAACAGCTGTGACCACTTGCTGATGTCCTACGGGGGCTCACATGGGCCATTTACCCAAAGCCTAAGCCTGGGTGCCTCGATCCTTCTCCTGATGCAAGTTTTCAGAGGTAACCACTCTAATGAGATGGGAGGCATAAAAGAGAAACACAGACTAAAAAGGAGAAGGGCAGACTCAGAGGAAAAGAGTGCGACTCCCAGGCCTTGCAGAGGAGATCTAGAGGTGGAGACCCCGAACAGAACCAGAAGACACATTGGCCTCAGAGACCCAAAGATCTTCTGAAACATACTTGATGTGACATAGGATAAGTCCTGTTAATCTTCTAATTCCTCCCCTTCCTGAAACCTCCCCGAGTTAATCAAACCAGTAGCTGGGATTTGAGCAGCTCAGAGCACCCTCACTGTGGAGAAACAAAGCATTTAATCATCAGGATTCCTGCTCAGGAAAACGCAGGCTTGCAGCAATTAATTCCTTAATGAGCCCCCTTGGAGTGAGAGCTGAAGCTGCAGGCCTGGGAGGTGGCTGATTCTCAGGCCTGAGAGATGACAAAAAAACTGTCCTGCCTACGACAAGATTCTTGTTTTGTTCCTGATAGGGAAAAGGATGGAGGAGAAGGAACCCCTCAAATCTCTCTCAAGTGTAATGAAACAAAATCTTTAGTTACTTGGGCAGTTTTTATATTGGTATAAAAGAGAAGAGCATGCACAGACATGGAAGTTAGAACTCGGGGGAAAGGGGCTGGGGATTTAGCTCAGCGGCAAAAGTGCCTCCCTGGCAAGCGCAAGGTCGTGAGTTCGGTTCCCGGTACCGGAGAAAAACCAAACCAAAAAAAAGAAAAAGAACTCGGGGGACAGTGCAGACCCACGGCCTTGTGGGTTCCTGAAAAGACCCCACACATGGACGTGAGTGTCTAAGACAAGCTCACCTGGGTGCCTGAGAGTCAGGAAGCCTCGTACCACGTACGACACTCTTCCCATGCACTCTCAGAAGTCAGGGATTCCCAGCCCTGTCCTTGTGTTGATCCTACCACATGTGGTCACACTCTAGCCTTCTTCAGTTTGCAGTTATCCATTTCCTGCTCTTATTAACATGACCGACTCTTCCTGTCAGTCTAGCAGCATGATTCTTTATGGTCAGAGTCACAGCATCTCTGTGGTCAGGGTCACAGGACTTTGTTGACCATAGCTCCGCCACTGAAGGATGGTTCATGGACCCTTGGGTGGGTCTCTCCTTCTGTCTTCAGATCTCAGGACCCCAATTTGTAAAGGAGTGGCAATGAGGAGGGAAAGGTTGAATTTACCACCTCTTAGAGCAATTTCAAGTTCAACTCTATGGATTTGTACTACTCATCATTCTAGCATCACCCTTCCCATTTGGGTTCACTCTTATGACAAAGGACCTGGCAAAATAAAAGAAGCAGATGTGGGGCTAGGGATTTAGCTCAGTGGCACAGTGCATGCCTGGCAAGTGCAAGGTTGTGAGTTCGATTCCTGGTACCGGAAAAAATTTAAAAAAAAAAAAAAAAAAAGCAGATGTGTTTTTTTTTAACAGAAGTCATTTCCTTAGTGTCAGTTTCTATATAGAGAACACATAGTAGCTTAATATGCACTGGTTTTCTTACTTATAATAGGAATTATTTAAAGTATAAAAGTAACCAGAGAGAAGGGGTTAATATACATGCTTTTGCTTCCCAGATTCTCTTCTGAGGCTTTTCCCAGTCTTCTGGGTCTTCACGTATGTCTACCTCTCATGCAAAATTATTAGCTTGCTGAAGATCAGAACATATGATCTGTGTCTCTGTGGCCCCCTGGAGTCTAGAGAGGGACCAGGCCTTGTTCCAAGTGAGCATTTCATAAATAGGTGGTTTTTTTTTTTTTTTTTCAGTTGAATTGAAATTGTGCTTCGAATCAAAATGTTTCAATTACTGCTTTGTTTTCTGATAGGCTTGGCTATGCTGGAGAAGTAAAATCACCAAATCTCAGTGTTTTAATGCAGCTGGGGGCCCTCTCCCTTGCCCAGACCAAATTTGCTTGGGACAGGGTAGAAATATGGAAAAGCTGTTTCTGCTCCACAGAGCTGCTTAGAGGGCCCTGGATGAGGAGAGTCCTATTGGGATGACTGTGTCTTGGGCAGGGCTCAGATTCCTTACCTGGAATATGAGGCCTTTTTAGGGGAAGGCACTGAAGTGTCACTTGGAGGCTTGTTCCTGACTTTTGCATACATTTTATTGACTTTCTGAAGCTCCAATCATTGACCAGCACTAACCACATGGCACTAGAAGGGTTGGTGTGGTGTGGGCATCTCATACCTTTCACCGAGAAAATGCCCCAGATTGATAATCATGGATGATACTTACCACGTACTTTAATATTTTTGAGGTAATATATTCCTTTGAGAATCTAATGGCAGCGGGGGCTGGGGATTTAGCTCAGTGGCAAAGCGCCTGCCTGGCAAGCGCAAGGTCATGAGTTCGGTTCCCGGTACCGGAGAAAAACAAACAAACAAAAAAAAGAATCTAATGGCAGCTACAGTCCCTCTCCCCAGAAAGTGCACACACACACACACACACACACACACACACATACACAGAAACACAATTTTGCACAATTTCCAAGTTGTTTCATGCATGCTGAGCCCTAGTCACTACCGATCCCTCAATCTAGGTTGCAAATTTCAACTGAATTCGGTGGCATTTTAGTGCCTGGCATCACACCAGCAGATAGATAAAGTACATGACTGATGATCTATTCTGACTTTTTCTTGCAGGCTACCTACCTGGTCACTTGTTTCTGTAAGATCTGGCATCATATGATATGCATGACCAATGAATTTCCCCTGTGTTTGATTTATCAGGAAAAATTTGAAGGGCTGTTCCGGACTTATGATGACTGTGTGACGTTCCAGCTGTTTAAGAGCTTCCGACGCGTCCGGATAAACTTCAGCAACCCTAAACCTGCAGCTCGCGCCAGGATAGAACTTCATGAAACCCAGTTCAGAGGGAAGAAGTTAAAACTCTACTTTGCCCAGGTAAGGTAATTCTTTACCAAAAATAATTTTTCTGCCTTACTTCTTGTTTTTAGTAATTCTACTCCTAGGTACTGAAGACACACACATACATACATATATACATAAAAATTTAATATATATGCATACATAATATCTTTACACACATATATAATATCTAATACCCTGTTCCCCACTAACAAGGCTGGAAAAATAATCACCCTTGAAAACTAGAGATCAAAAGCACCAGCCCCAATGAATCTATTCTTGTCTTAGAGTGGCCGTCAAGCCAGAGAATCGCAATGACAGGGTAATAGTGACATATGTATGTTCAAGACCACACTACTCAAAATGGACAAAAGCTGAAAATCCCAAATGGGTACCAACAGATGGACAAACTGTAGTATGCTCATGCAGTGGAATCCTATTCAGCTATGAAGGGAAAGAAAATGTGTGTGGACACATGCAACGGCGTGATGAGCCTTATACGAAGTGAAAGAAGCCGGTCCCAGACGGTCACGTGTTCTGATTCCATGTGTATGAAATGTCAGTGAATTCACAGAGACACAATACAGCCTGGGGTGCCAGGCACCAGTGGGAGCCAGAACGGTAATCCCTGTTTCATCATGGGTCCAGGCTTGTCCTTGGGGTGATAAAAAGGTCTTGGCACTGGCAGTTGAAAGACTTTCAGAATACCACTGAACTGTTGACTTTAACATGGTCGATTTCATGTAATGTGAGGTTTATTTTAGTAAGAAGGAAGTCAGGGAGAGAAGGAAAAAGGAAAAGAGGAGAAAGGGGAAGAGACAACAGAAGAAAGGCTGATCGATTTGCCTGGTTTGTGGTAAGAGCGGCCCAGGAGCATGACCTGTGGACTCGGTAACATGGTAGAAATGCAGATTCCCAGGAACTCTGCATTTCTCCTGGGCCTCCTGCATCAGAACTTCCAGCGGGTGGTCCCTGGAAGTCTGGATGCTGAGGGGATCCGCTGTTCTGAGGACTAAGAGAGACAGCTGGGGCATGGTGCGTAGTAAGCAGTGAGGATCACCACACACTGCGCCATGCGTTCCTCTGTCCCGGGCGCCCTCTTAGGGTACTAGCGTGCCGTGTCTAAGGCCATAGGGACCCAGCGTCTCGTCCTGACTGTTGCAGGTCCAGACCCCAGAGACAGATGGAGACAAGCTGCACCTGGCACCGCCCCAGCCTGCCAAGCAGTTCCTCATCTCGCCCCCGTCTTCGCCGCCTGTGGGCTGGCAGCCCATCAGCGACGCCACGCCCGTGCTCAACTACGACCTCCTCTACGCTGTGGCCAAACTAGGGCCAGGTGAGCTGTCGGCAGCCTACAGAAGCCAGACGAGATTTGCCCCCTGGAAAGTGGGTTTGTCGGGACATCTGGATTTCTAGTGGGTTTATGGCTCTGTGTGGCCAGTGCAGAGAGGACGGATGAGAATTTAGCATCCAGCATTGTGCCTGCTTAAGAGCAATGTGGGGTTAGTACTAGAATGACTTCAGACTATGCGGCTTCTGGGTTGCAGCACAGATGTCTGAAGATCTGACACTGCTACCTAATTTTTCTGGGATTTCTGTGTCCCATGAGGAAGTTCCTTTCTCAGAACAGGTAGGATGGGCTAGACTGGCTGGCAGGAGGCTGCTCTGCTGGGCAGCCGTGTCTCGTTGCTGCCAGAGGTGTCAGAGTACACCCAGGAGCTGCCACCCCTAGACAATCTGCCTGAAAAAGTCCCCGAGGAACTGGTCATTTGCCTATAACTTTAGAAAAGTCCTGTGGTCACTTTGTTCCAGTGTTGGTGTCTGTACCTCTGAGTCATTCATTTTCACCTCAGTGTAAGTATTCCAGTAGAGGAACACACCTCCACACTTTATTTCTAGGATTTTTCTATTGCCAGCAAAGCTACCCTTAACATTCGTATGTGTATCTCTTATGCACTTGCCCAAAGAGTTGTTTAGATTTTATACCTAGAAATGATAATTGCCTTCAATTTCAGTGGATGATATCACTTTGTGCTCAGAATTTTTTTTTCCTATGTTATGCAGGAGGAAAAAGGGTGGGGGTTCAAGGGGGCACTGAACCTAGGGTCAGCTAAAGTCCTCAGTACTGTGGAGCCCAGGATAAATACAGTGGTGCCCTGGTTCACGAACTTAATTTGTTGCATAATTTTGGGAAAGATGGTCACGTTTGTGTTTGTGCAGGAAAGATGGCCACAGTCACGTTTGTCACCTGATGTAGAATTTACAAACAAGAACAAAATTTTGCCGAATGCTTTTATTTGCAAACCAAATTATCTGCAAAAAAAGCGTCCGTGAACCAAGGTACCAATGAAATGGCGAGAAGCCGGCTCTGTCTACTGAGGTTTCTGCCAAAGAGAAAAGGAGCCTTAGAATACAATTTCAGGGCTCTTAGCCTACCCCAAGAGATTCTAATTTAACTGATCTGGAGTAAAGCTTAGGCATCGGCATTTTCAAGAACCACTGGGAGCCTAATGTGAGATTCCAGGAAGATAAACTCAGAATAAGTTCACACCTGTATTTCCTCGTGTGGTCAGGAAAAATGACATTTTCAAACCTAGTTCTTTGAGGATGGAGGGGTCCCTGGGACGTGGGATGTTTGAGGGTAAAACTTCTGGGCAAACCAGGAAGTGCTTCAGCCCTACTGGTTCCTCAGATAAACATGAGGCTGGTTTGATTCATAAGCCCTCCCTGCAAGAGAACTGTGGCTGTCACTTTCGTGGCCTGAAATTAACTTAGAAGCATCCTCTAGAACAAGCTCCTGGGGTTTCCTTATAGTCACCAGTGAGTCTTTTGGCTCCTGGAACCTTGGATATGGCCCCAAATCTCACAGGCAAAGAGCCACTCTGAGAAGTTGTGGGTGTCTGAGCCGAACCAGGGAAGGAAGTGATGTAATATGCGGGCGAGGTTTGTGAAACAGGACTTCCTGGAAGCCTAAACTGGCGCACTCCCTGTTCAGAGTGGGCCTGTTGGGATTCTCTCAAGCCAAGCTCTGGGAGGCCACTTCGGTAGCAGACAACCACATCTGGCCCAGTGGACTGGGCCAGAGTCCAGTGGACCGATCAGCGCCCAGCTCCTTGGGTCTGCAGTGTGATTCCCCTGCACAGACAGTAACAGGGATACCTTGGAGCATTCGGCAGAGCTATATTGACTGTCAGCAGATAGAACTCACAGAATCTCTAAGGCTACATTCAGTGGGCTGACTTGCATGTTACAGGGTGGGAACCTGAGTTCCAAGAATTGGTAGACAACTCACCCGTGACACAACCAGGACCTCACTCTTGAAAAGGAGGCCCAGGCTGAGTCAGACCTGCTGACCCTCAGAGCCCCTCTGCCCTCTGCTCTACCCACTGGAGCAGGCCTGGCACAGAGCAGGGAGGAGGAAGAAGGAAATGGTCTCAAAGGCAGGAAAGGGAGGGGTGATTCTTTCTACGTATGAGTTGTGAGTCTTCGGTCCCCATTGCGCAGGTGCAAGCCTTTGCCCTGCCTGTGCCCTTCAGCTTCCTTTATCACAGCAGATGTCCAGCTGCCGTGCGGGGCTCCCCCATGGTGCGCCAAGTACCGAGACAGGAGCTCATTATCCCTGTGCGCAGATCCAGGGACTAAGCTGGAGAAAGGTGGCTGGATTTCCCCAAGGTGACACAGCTGGCTGGTGACAGGCCAATTCCGGATCCTGGCTCTTCTAAATCCAGGGAGTGGTGGGCCAGATGCTGGCTGCCTTAGGCCTGTTCTGCCCTGTCACGGTAGCACATTTGTCCTCTCCGTGCACTGGCAGTTTTCTCTACCCCCACCCCGGCTCCCGGAAAGTCTGGCCCGCTGTCCAGAGCGTGCAGATGGAGATGTGCACTGTTGTGCGTGGGCGTGAAGCAGGGGTGTCCTGCTTTTCAAGGGTGACTGATGTGTCTGTGGACAGATGGGACTTGGAGGCATTTGGGGATACCATTTGCTCCTCTCCTTGGGAGCCATTTGAAGCTGTTTCTTTTTGCTTCCTGATGCCACATGGATAAATGATTCACAGCCAGTCATTGAGCTGTACATGTCACAGACGTTCCACTGGAGGTTGCCAAGGTCCATTTGCTGTGGCCAGAGTAATTTATAGGGAAAGGGGTAGCTTGGCTCATGGTCCTGGAGAGCGGGTAGTCTAAGAGCAGGGTGCGGGTTCTGCTGGTCATGTGTGCAAGAGAGAGGACCTGGGGACAGGGAGTGGCCTTGCTTTATGACAACTCGCTCTTGTGCTAGTGAATCCAGTCCCATGAGAGCGAGACCCATGAGAGAGGGATTAACCCACTCCTGAGAACGCAGGGCCTCCCAACCCTGCCACGGTGGGAATTAAGGTTCCAACAGGAAACACACTCAAACCACAGCAGGGGTTGTTTCAGCTGCAACAAGGAGGGAGCAGGAGCTGTACCCCAAATCCTCCCACCCATGTCTCTGAGTCTCCCCACAAAGGTGCCAGAGCAAGAAGCTCCTCCAAAGTTTCCTGTAGGTCTTTGCCCATATTCTCCCTGCTATCCTCAGAGTAATTTCCTGCTCAGCTTCCTGTCTTCCCTACTTCCTGAGGGGAAGATGCACACTGTATTCCTTTTTGCATTCTTAGCTTGTGATAGCCGCTGGCACATAGCTGGTGCTCAGTAAACAGCGGGCCAATAAACGAATCCGTAAGTGAATGGAAGAGCTGTTAGCCTGCTTAGAGACGCTGTCTTCTCTAGCAAATTGTTGCTTCCTACGGCTTGAGCCAGACTGAGTCAAGCAGCACTAAATTAATGTTTTCAATAACGAAGGGACTTCCAGCATTTCCATTTTAAAAAGATTTAGTGAAATTCATTCTTAATCCTTCGGCAGAATCATCTCAGTAAGAAATCATAACTCATTTCATGTTAAGCAGTGGCTGCTTCAATCCCAGAAGCTCAGGCGCAAAGAAAAGCAGCTCATGGGATTGATCGAGGACTAGAGCGACAAGGGGTGGGAAATCTAACCTACTGGGACAGGTCCGTCCACAGGAAGAGCAGCGTGGAGAGGACATCCGGGGGTGGGGCTCAGACTAGGATCACCTTGGCCAACCCAGTGGCGGTGAGAGTCTTACTATGACCCGCTGCCTGGGGTGGAATCAGGACCTTGCTGGGAGGACAGCAGGCAGGGAGGCTGGGGACACAGGCCTCGCTGAGACCCTCCAGGGACAGAGCTATGTGCCTGCTCTTCACAAAAGGGATGCTGGTGGTGCTCCCTCTTGCACAGAGGGAGAGGTCAGGGGAAAAACTACAAAGATGCCTGGAGATGTAGCTAGCAACAAGGGCCAATCCCATTTGAGAAGTTTCTTTCAGTTCTGTTTATTATAGTGGGAGTTAGTTTATAATCCGGAAATTACGAGAGGCACAATATTAAACTTTTTTTTCTTTTTAACAATGCTGGGGATGGGCCCAGAGCCTCATGCATGTTAGGCAAGTACTCTATGCTGAGCTGTATCCCAGCCCTCAAACATTATTAATCACTGTGTGTTTCATTTCTGATCCAGAAAGGAAAACAGATAAATCAGAAAAAAATAAAAACATGACCTACACTTATATACAGGGCTTATGTCAGGCACCATTGTAACTCCTTATTCTATGGTCTCTTTTAATGCTTGCAGGCAACAGGTATTGCTAGGATCACCTTTCCATGTAGCTGGAAAGGTAAGGCACAGAGTGATTCAGTCACCTGCCCACCACAGGGGTTTAAAATATGTCCCTCTGTCACTGGCGAGAAGCGCAAGCGCAAAGGATTGATCCAAAAAAGTTGAAGAAGCTAGAAGGTCTCTCAAATAGTAAAATAATTTCTCCAAAAGAAGTTCAAGATAACTGTGAATGGAGATTTTAAAAATACAGAACTTATACACGTTTCTTCCTCTGCATTTTGTTTTGCTATCAGCCCCCCTAACCATACGCCACCCCTCTTATTTTAGAGCATATCACTTGCCCTCATCGGCTAGCCAGCTGTACCTGCAGATCAGAGTGTGCCACATTCCGTTCTGTTTAAGAAACAGTTGCTAGGAGACGAAGGCTTCACACATTTCTCTGGCTTTCCCCCCTCTATCCGCTTGGGTGATCTGTACATCTCCTCGCTTCCCAGGGACCTAAATCAACCAAGATCTCTGACCTTGAGGCAGACGATGAATTGAGTATTTATCTTATAGCATCTATTCTAGTTCCAGAAGCAGTGGATGTTCCATGAGATGCCATGTCCTTTTTTGATGTGAAACAAAATAGGAAAAATTTAAAAAAAAAAGCATAGCCCCGCAGAAGAGCTTAGCCACACCAATCAGCAGAAATGGCAGCAGTGTAGAGATGCCAGCCCTGAAAAGCTGCACCACTTCAGAGGCTGCTTGCAAAGTGCCAGGCTTTGTTCTGCTGCCTGACGCCCCAGAAGTTCAAGCCCATTGTCGCTGAAAATGCCTGCAGGGAGCAATGTGAAAAGTCATTGTCTCTCCTTTTTTTTCCTCTCGCTATTTTTAGCTCTTGTTACAGAGATCAATTTTAGTTAACTGCAGAGGAGGGCTTAAAACGGTGCTGGAGTTTCAAGTTTGTGTATGTCTGCTATATTTAGATCTATCTTTTTCCAAATTCTGCTCCATCCAGATATGCCATAGTGAGCAATTTTACTGGTGTTACACTTGGTACACAGTGCTTCCCTCAAATGGAAAACACATTTCATTAATTAATGTAACTTACAAGGAAGGACATTTTCTATTCCAGGCTCTGATTCAGAGGTAGAAAAAAAAAATCAGTTTTTAAAATATAGATGAGCACCCATATTTTTGGTGCATGTGGGATGAATATTCCATTAAGTCTCAGTTCTTGCTCAGCAATCTCTGTACTATTCTGATCACAGAAAGCACGAGTCCACTGGAATCTACCTTTTCAGCTAGCTGGGCCTCTACGCACCATTCCCCACCCAAAGGACTCAGGTTTGTGGTCCTGAAACACAGATCCCTCGTTTCCCATTTCCTTTCTAAGAATTTTCTCCAGGAAAATATTTTAAGGAGCTTTTCACCCAGCATATATTCTGCAGTTCATCTTCAATCACCACGGAGTGACAGGATAAATCATTTCCTTAATTCATAGGCAAAATGTCCACATGGAAGAATATTTGAAAAGATCCACAAAAAAGGGAAAGAGGTGAATAGCAGATTTTACCACCCCCAAATAAGTACTTTAAGTAGGATCACTATGGCCTGTGTGTCCTCATAGCTGTTGCCTGAGCCAGGCCCATAACATTAGGAAAGGAAAGACAACAGGGCCTGTCCCAAAAGGGGCGCCTGACCTGAGCTTGTACACAGAGGCTTCTCTGTGGTCTCTACCTCTTGCCTCTCGTGGAGGAAGCCTCTTTTTGATGAGTGTGGAACAACAGAGAGACTATATACAAAAGTGATCAAAAAATATAGCAAATACTCACACTTCAAATAATGCATTGCAGTCAAAGATATGTTGCCATTAAACCCTCAGAACACTCCTACTCACTTCAGCTGCACTCATCCCATCATTCTCGCTGCTTTCTGAAGCAGTTCTGGAGGTACTCTTCCCTGACGGTCTACCACAGGTGATCAGAAAACACAGCTAACGCTGCTGCCGGGTGCCATCCAGTAGAAAAACAGTCTCTTAAGAACACAACGGTGTGTCTTCACCCACGTATCTACCAGATCTGACACTGTGCAAAACTTCTGGCTCTTACCAAAGTCAAAATGACCACGAAAGGTCAATGTTTTGAATCAATTCAGGTCATTGAGGCAGCCATGACTGTTCAACTAAAGACACTCAGGGAGAGGACTTCCAGACCTGCTTTAGAAAGTGGCAGGAACAGGACGAGCGTATTCAGAGTGTGTGTGTGTGGCGGGGGGATGAGTGGCTTCGTGGCAATGTCTTTTACTGTATTACATTTTTTATTTAAACACACACCTTATCCTTCTGCTTCAGGAATGTGAGTCCGGCGGGGTGTGGTGGTGCACGCCTGTAATCCCCGCACTCAGGAGGCTGAGATAGGAAGATTGCTATGAGTTCGAGGCCAGCCCACGCTACATAGTATCAAAAAAAAAAGGAAGAGGAATGTGAGTCCGGAAAGTGTAGGAGACTGGCATGGAGATGGGTATAAATCAGGATGCAGGTGACAGTGGCATGGGAGGAGCCCCTGCTAGGGGTGGGGACCTTCTTGGAGAAGCCCTGGTTCTGAGGACAATAGCATCTTGTACCTGTTGGGCTTGGCTCTGCTTGGAAAACCTCCAGCAGGGATCCTGTGTGTTCCTTAGCAGAACAATGAAAGAACTTGCCCTGGTGGCACTCAAGTTTTCAGAAAATTTCTTCTTTTTCCATCAGAAAAGTTTCTTGCTAAGCCTGTGAACAATGAGTCACAATTGCATCAGTGCACACAGCTCCACCTCACACTCTGCGCACCCCCCTAACCCCGCCAATATGCTAATGTTTACAAACTGTAATCGCATGGGATCAGTTTCTCAATTCAAGGAGCCCCTTGTCAGCCAACGGGGTATGAGGGAGGTCTCCTAGGCCCAGCAGCCATCACACTTCTGAGATTGTACCGGAACCACGTCTACGGCCCTGTGGTCGGCAGTGACCTCCCCTGACACAGGAAGCAGCCAAGGACACCCACACACCTTCCTCCATTCATGTAGGCATTGGGACTGCGTCACCAACCAGTCCCCACTCACTTGAGAAGGGGACACAGGGCTTCGGCTTCTCTTTTTTTTGTTTTTTTTTTTGTTTTTCTTCCAGTACCAGGAATCGAACTCACGACCTTGCGCTTGCCAGGCAGGTGCTTTGCCACTGAGCTAAATCCCCAGCCCTTTGGCTTCTCTTTTGAGCAGTGGCCAAGCCTCTAACACATCCAGAGGCTGGCGTGAGAGTGTACTTCTCAGCCAGTGCTAGGGGACTTTTATCCTGGAACTTTTCACTGGGAATTTGTTCAGTGTGGATGGAAGGAAAGCCCTGATCCATGCAGTTTTGATAGCTTTTGCCCTGGCCTCCTTTCCTTGCACAAGGGAAAGGACACTTTCAATCTACACACAGGAGATAACACGTAACAGATGAGCGTTGTCCTTCAAAGGAATGCTGACCCCATTGTCACTGTACCAAGGCAGGACCCATGTCACCCTGGTGAATAAGGTCTGACTGGCTCCATGTCCCCAGCTAAGCCCCCTTGGGCCCTTTTCAGGGTGAGAGCATTGACGTCAGTTCTCCAGGTGAAGGAATTAGCTGAAGCCCACAGGGAAAAAGGGGCCAAAAAAAGAAAAATTCAATCCAGCAAGACTAAAGTCATTTCTTTTCCTTTTGTAGGCTCTCAGCAGCTGTTAGGCTTTAGGGGATTTTGATAGTAAGAGAGTTTCCCAAAATAGAACAATGAAATGTCAGCATTAATAAGATCATAGCAATAAAATACCTCTACTATGGAGCACGCTGACACTATTAACTTGGTGGTGATGGTACTTTGCACCCTGAGAGTCCCTGTCCCCAAACTGGTGGGAGAGGGACTCACCACTTCTGAAGGAGAGACATTGCCTCAGACAGTTTTCTGTGACTGTGATAAAACAACCGAGAGGAGGGAAAGTTTGTTCTGGGGCATGGTTTCTGTCCACGGCCCACTGGTTCCTTGCTTTTAGGGTGGCAGAAACAAAATGGCGGAAGCGTGTGGCATGGTGGAGAAAAGATGCTGACCTTATGGCATCCAGGAAGCAGAGGGAGAAGGAAAGAACCAGAGAGGAAGGAGCAGGGACATGAAAACATTTCCAAAGAACATTCACCCATGAGCCATTCCAGGCTGCACCGTCTAAATCTCCATCACCTCCCAGTCACACCACTGGATTACAGTTCTGTTAATGGGTTAATCCAGTGATGACGTTAGAGCCCTCCTGATCCAATCACCTTGCAACTGTGGACCAGGTGTTGTTCCCTCAGGATCCAATGACAGGTTGTTTTCATACCATACCCGGTGCCCCCTGCCCCACCATCTGAGACCCCGGGATTTATGAGCCCCTGTATGACACTCCTCTCACTTCCTGAACAAACCTTGCCAAAGAATCTGTTTGGAAACCCCTTCTGTTTGTCAACTGTGTTTCTTGCTTTTCAGGAGAGAAGTATGAGCTCCACGCAGGGACTGAGTCCACCCCAAGTGTCGTCGTGCACGTGTGTGACAGTGACATAGAGGAAGAGGAAGAGCCAAAGACTTCCCCAAAGCCAAAAATCATCCAGACTCGGCGTCCCGGCCTGCCACCCTCTGTGTCCAACTGAGCTGACCGCTCCACCTTGACGATAATATCTGTCTCTTCTTGATCATGCTCCCCCACTCCCATTGTCTGTCAGAAAAATTAATTGCCTTTAAATCCCTGGGTATTTGGTTGTTTGAGATTCTGTCCTTGAAATCAAGCCTCTCAGACAAAAGGGCTAGGCAAAGGTGATATGTCTCCTGATCATATCATACCCATGACATATAACCCAACATCTAGAAAGTCCTAGGGGAAAAAAAAAAAGTAGTATTTTCTTATTAAACAATGAGCACAGCCCACATCCTCATTCTCACATATTGATCCAAGCCAGAGACGTCAGTAACAAATAGCACCAGTGTTGTTTGTGAGCTGTTTCAGTCCCTGTCCTGATGTGCGCATGTTGGTTTTTCTTTTCTTTTCTTTTCTTTTCTTTTCTTTTTTCCTGGTCACTTAAATAGGACCATAAGTAAACTTGACTTTGACTGCATGAGATTTCCCTATCCGATCTCACTCAGTCCTCTGCATCCCGACATTCCCAGGACATGCATGATCACCAGCATTTATTTTCATGATTTGAGGATATTCTAACTCACGAACTGTTAGCACCCAGCCATGTCCTCTCTAGTCTAGGAACATGATCGGCAGTGCCCAGCTCGACAGGTCTGGGCAGAGTTACAATTTTGAGTCAAAACTTCATAGCTCTGTCAGAATTCCTGGAGGCAAAACTGAAGTTGGCCCCCAAAGCTATCCCGCCACAGACCTCCACCACCTCTTCCGTGTAGAACTTTCCCACCTCTTTGGGGAGGCTTGTCCAGGGTGATAGAGACCGATTTCAGACAAACCCGTTTATTATAAAAGTCTCGCGATGTCTGAACGATTGTTTTTTTTCCCTCTTTGTATATTTGTACAAATGTTTCAGCTGTGCTTTTAATATCTGGATGTTTTTTATTTAGAGATTCTCCAACCATTAGCTGCTTTAAAACATAATATGTGCATTGCTTACGAATGCGTTCATATACTAATGCCGATAATCTGATACTATTACACGCCATTATGGATAACGCTGAATTTTGAAAGGACACAAAAGCGTCTCATGCCAATAGATGAGTGGCTAGCCAACATCAACTTTGCTGTCAAGACCACTTGTTCTTAAATAAAGATGTGGCAGTGGTAGATCATTTGGATGCAGCTAAATTTCCAGAATGAAGCAGCAGCTGAGCATATGAAAGTGGGTAAAGATGGCAGATGTCTGCCGGTCTTACTTGTGCAAGCCCTACATGCTCTAAAACATTCTTTGCGTTCCATGTGGTTTTTCTATTCTCTAGCCCAAAGTGCATTACAGAAGATACACCTATAGAACCATCACCTTCCGCTCCATCTGCACAGTTAACGAATTCCTGTAGATGCAAATGCTGGCGATCGTGGAGTGGGGAAGCACTTTCTTTACCTAAGCCTCAGACACACAGGCAAGAACAATAACACAGCCAAGCGATGGAAGGATTGTTGTGGTTTTTGACTAAGGTGTATGTTAGTTTCATCAGAAACTTAAAGCTTCTGATCACTCAGAAATTAAAGTCCGTTCTACTGTGAATATAGCAATATAGTACTGCACACAGTGCAGGAGGAAACGAGGAGAGCATTACTTCTAAGATTCTGAGTTTCCACAGGGAGAATGACTCCTTTTAAAAATAAAATCTGAGGAGTCGCTATTAAGTCCTTTGCCGTGGAGGGTTAGGATTTCGCTGGACGGAGTAAACTTAGTAATGGAGAAAGGGTGCCCTCTGGTGGAGAAATGCGGGACTTAGCTTTTCAGAGGAACAAAAAATCTACATCAGGCAAGCGAAAGAAGCTGAGCTTTCTCATGGGGGCCTCGGCTTTTTAAGCTATCCCGTATTTCCAGGATGCAGATGAGAGGTGTTTGGAAATGACTTCTAAGTGTTTCAAACCAGTCATAGCATACATTGCCAGCAACTTAGGAAAAGCTCAAGTGACCATCCCGTGTCATTGTGCAAACTCAGTGGCGTGTGTGACCTTGGTGGTTAACCTTAGTAACCTGCACTGCCACGTATCCCCGTCCATCCACCTACCCCAGATCAAGCAGGGCTGGGCTCCAGGGAGGTGGAGGAGCGGCAGGAAAGGGCAGGGCTCCTCGCCGTGCCTCAGTGGGACCTCCTCGCACTGTGAAAGTCACCATCGATCGCCTCAGCATTTCCGCGCTGCACATGATACAAGCTCTTTGGCACTATTGTAAGTTTGAAAATTTTTCATATGGAGGGGAAGAGGAAGATTCCCACCAACTGAATCATTTGTGCACGTGTACAGCTCAAAGAGCTTAGACTTCAAATATATCTGGTGAATGACCTTGGTCCTTGTCTCCTTTCTGTGCTGTGTGTCTGGGTTGAATGTCCCTGAGGGACAACTGCCAAGGAGTATGGCTCAGCCTACACTTTTAAGAAGGGGCCGGCATGCGGGATCAGCCCTTCTAGGCTGTTCCTGCAATGAGCGTTGAGAGAAGCCAGGTTGTAGCATCTCTTGGCAGAGAAGAACTGAACCAGGCCTAGAGGGGTAAGATGGTGGTTCTCTGATGAGGGGAAGTGGAGAACCATATTCATTGCCCTGTTTCAGCATTTCAAGGGTCCTAAGAACAGCCGGAACATCTCCCCCATGCTGATCTTAAGGAGAAACATTTGTCAGACAGGACAGGAAAAGCACTATCACAATCTAAAGGATGACACATTAGACTTTATCAAAAGAGCATCTCCATCAAATGAGACCTTCAAGAGAATAGAGAGGAAAACTTGAGGCTGGGAGAAGACAGCTGAGATACAAGTAACTGTGAAAGGACAATGGTCACAAAGCAAACTTTCTCTTTCAAAACAACACTTAACATACATAAGATGATGCTCGATGCACGCAGGCCTGGAATACCCAACCCACAGACATTTCACACACACTCAGCATCATTTCTTGTCAGACCAAAGCCAGGAGAAACTTCAAAGACATATATCAGGCAGCTTTCACAGTGGCTCAAAGTAAGTACGGTTAAGTCCCTGACTTATGAACCAGTTCCGTTCCGGAAGAATTGTTCGTGAGTCAGATTTGTCTGTATCTGACAAAGTGAATCATACAGTACAGCTGTGAAAGTTTGCAGCTCGAATGTTCCTAAGTTAGGGACTTCCTGTAGAGGGAAAGACTGGATGGTAAGAGTCCAGAGGGGAGGGGATGCTGCTTCTGCCATGTGGAATGCTCTTCTGTGTCCCCGAGGTGGAACATGAGCCTGTGTGGGAGTTGGTTCGCTCTGGGGCTTGTGCCCAGCACATAGGAGTGGGACTCACGTCTATCCAGGTACTCACAGCCATGTTCCCAGCAGGAAACCCAACGTCCTTCCACAGTGATGTATGTAACTATGGTTCGCTCACACAGCGGAACCTGGCAGACCCACAGAACACAAACTCCTTGGTGCAAATGATAGATGGAGAAGGCTCAAATGTGTTTGAGCAAACAAGCTAGCCATGAGTGGGAGTGGAGGGATGTCCCAAAGTCTATGGCATCCTGCCCCACTCCATGTGCCCCAGCTCCATCGGCCCCCTCCCCAGGGTAACCGCTGTCACAGCTCCTAGCAATATAGGTCACCTTATCCCCCCCACACTGGCTCTTCCCCAAAAGCAAAATGACCTTGAAAGAAAAACATATGGAGTCCATTCAGGACATTGTGGAAGCCACAACAGTGCAACCAAAGATCCTCACAGAACTGCCGCAGAGAATGGAAGGAATGATGGTGTAAGCGTGTTCGCAAAGCTGGGGAAGATTTTGAGGGGGACTAATGCAATAGGTCTCTTACTGTAATACTTTTAAATTTAATTATTCAGAGTATCTTTTGATCACACGTGGTACATACTTTTTTCTATTTTGGTACCAGGGATCAAACTCAGGACCTTGTGCTTGGCAGCCAGGTACATGAAATTTTCCAAGATCAGAGCTTGATACTGAACTTCTGGTGCTGGATGGGCTCTCACTTTTAAGTAAAGTGCATTTACTTCTAGGCAGAGGCACACCCTCTCTCAGTACTCTGTATGGGCCAGGATGGCCCCACTGTCCCCTTCTGTTGGGTGTCAGACTGACCCCTGCTCATTCATACAAATCTCCATTAGCTACATTTCAAATGGACTTTTGGGATTTAAGCCTGGTTTTGCTAAAATATGATTGTCAGTGCCCTACAAGTTGGTAAAACATCTGAACTTCCATTGCCTCTATTTTAACTCAGGACCGTGGGTGTCCTCAGGCCAGGCTGGAACATATTAAGTACCCAGCACAAGACCTAGCACACACTATGTGTCCTCAGCACTTGGAATGTTTCTGAGCCCTTCCTGCCTCTTGGGTAGTGGCTCTGGACCTCCTTTGAGAAGCCGCTTTGGTTTCTTGGGATCCCTTCAAGATCCTGAAGTAACTCCCCATTGATTTTAAGTTTCTAGAAGCTCTGTGTCACTGTAAATCTTGATTCTTATCAGCAAGCGGTGGTGTGCTGGGGGGCCTTATAGAACTCTGGCTCTGGCTACCGCGCTGGTGCTGGGTGTGGGCTAGGATTGAAGGAGCCAGGGGAGAAAAGCCCTGACTCTAGCTGTCCCAGCAGCACTGTGCACACACAGCCAAAGAGGCCAAGAGGAACTTTACCCAGGGCTCACTGCAATCCAGCCTCCAGGCCTGCAAAGCCACTCGCAGAGAGGAACGTCACCAAGCCTGCGTCCACACCACACCACGCACATGGTCCCCACCTCTGTGCTGCCCTCTGCTGTCAGGACTGGGAGTGAGCATCACAAAGTGGGCGCTGTGGTTCCTGTCACCACTTCTCCCTGTTCTGTGCCTGTTTGGAGTCTAAGTGTGTCAGGGCCCTCACCACTGTGGGGCCGCTAATGCCAGAGGCCCTTGCTAGCAGCACAATTAGCATCAACAATGCCCAAAGAAAACACGTCATCCAATAGAGGCCACCAGTCCCGCTGTAGGAACAGTGTGTAGCAACCCACACTCGCGCTGTCTGCATCACACCTGCCCAAATGGCTAGAATGTCTCCACCTTTGTCTGGCCCACAGTGGGTCTCTCCAGCTCAGCCAGGGTACATATGGTACCCAAAGTCACTAACCACAGCCAAAGAAGCTACACGGAGACCACACTATGGAAATATGGCCAACACTGCATAACAAAATGACATCCCAAGAAACATCTTTAGGAGCAAGTTGCTTATGAAGAAGATCACCCCTAGGGCTGGGGATTTAGCTCAGCGGCACAGCGCCTGCCTGGCAAGCCCAAGGTCGTGAGTTTGATTCCTGGTACCAGAAAAAAAGCAAAAAAAATAAAAAATTTTTAAAAAAAGAAGGTCACCCCTAAGGGTTTGACATACCTAAAATATCAGATGCAAAAACTCAATATAGGAGCACGAGAAATATGAAATAACAGGATTACGATGGCTGCAGAGAATCATAATAACTCTAGCAAGAGACCCCAAGAAATCAATATGGGTGAGATGCCTGGTAAATAACAAAAGGATTTTTAAAAGCTCAATGAAATACAAGAGATCATAGACAAACCATTAAGTAAAATTAGGGAGACAATGCAGGATATGCATGTGAAATTCAGCACCGGGAGATTTTAAAAGAAAACCAAACAAACCTTGGAAATGAAGAGCTCAATAAGTCAAATAAAGAATACAGATGGTTCTCAACTTGTCCCGCTGTGAAGGTTAACTGATTATGTCAACTTGAGTGGGAAACACACAGTGAAATTGGCTCTGCACAGTTCTGGGTGTGGAGCACCAAGGGTGGCTTGCCGCCAGAATAGTATAAAAGAGAAACAAGGAAGAAAGGCTTGCTTGTGATTCCTCTGGAGGAGCTCCAGTCTTCGCCTTTACCTTAGACATCATCTCCCGGCTTCCACTGCAGACTCTGCAACCTCCCATCAGAGACCCTTTGGCCTCCTGACACATGCTCCCACAGGACACTATAATGTTCAGACCTTCAACGGGATCCTTTGGATTTCCACTGCGCAGACAGACCTTTTGCACTCTTCCATACCCAGCTCTGTGGGTGGCCATTGTAAGGCAATCTTGCAAATTCTTATATATTTGTATACCTTGTATGAAATCCGTTTCTCTAGTGAGTACACTGACTGATATATCCATAGAGGCAGAGACCAGGTAGACACGCTGCATACAGTCAGGAAGAAAGCTTGAGGGGAATGCGTAGATGGGAAGACAGACAAGGTGCAGAAAGCCAGGAAGGAATGGTACAGAGAGAAGGTTTGGTGCAGGGTGCTCATCTAGAGAAGATACACGGGGCAGACTGACCAGGACTGAACCTAATAATACATTGAGTCGGGTGAATAGGTGCTCGAATACCAAAGCAAGCCACGGTCAAGGTCACACCGCAGGATGATGGCTAATAATGAAAGCGGTCGATCTCCATAATAGTGACAGAACTTCTAACCCTAACTGATCTGCAGCCCTCAACACAAAAATGCTAGAAATATGACAGAACAAGGCAACAAGATACCTCCAAAAATTCTTAGCTCCTTAAGACGTTCCCCCAAATTCTTAATTCTCACAGGCACAGGAGAGGAATTTCCAAACCAAGAGCACAAAAGCAAATACTTAAAACTGTTCTTTGAAGAGATCAAGGAGACCAATAGACACAGGAAGCAATAACTGAGATGTTCAATGAAATCAAAGGTGTAGATAAACAGTTAAATAATCCCATTCATACACTGATGAGCTTAAAGAAGATACAAATAAACAGTTGAATGAGTGAAAGATGATAATGTAAGATAGGAATGGCAACTTTAGTAAAGAATTAGAGTATGCAAAGTAATCAAGTAGAAATCCTGGAAATAAAAAAAGCAATTGAAAACCATGGCAAAAGACATGAATAGTTAAAGAAGAGACTATCAGGCTTTGAAGATAAGAATGCTACAGATCAGTTAATGATACTCAAAAAACAATAAGGATCTGCAAGAGGTCAGGTCAAGCACTTCTAGATGACTCTAAAAGAACAAAACTAATAATTCTGGGTGTCAAGGAAGAGCTGGAGAAGGAAAATAATGGTATAAAAATTTTATTCAGGGGCTGGGGATTTAGCTCAGCAACACAGCTCCTGTCTGGCAAGAGCAAGGTTGTGAGTTTGATTCCCGGTACTAGAAAAAAACAAACAAACAAAAAAAAAAAAACAAAAAACAAAAACAAAAACAAAAAAAAAATAAAATTTTATTCAGTGAAACAATTATAGAAAACTTTCCAAATCTAGGAACTGAATTGAGTACCCAGTAAATGAGACATTTAGAACCCCAAATAGACATGACCGAAAAGACTCTTTCCATCATAAT